AAACTGCTCTGTTCAACCAGTTTGCAACACGGCCGCTAGGTTCACTAATGTGTGTTCCCTAACTTTAAAGATCGAATCGATCTGCCCTATTTAATTTATCTACTTAATTCATGCTAAATGGCAAGATAGACTAAATAGACTTGAATGAAGTTAACTTGCTAACAGCAGAAAATTACAGTAAATAATGATAGGAAACTAAGTGCCCTAGTTTTGAGCAGATGGTTAATCAATTTTTTCAATAAGTTAGGAAATTTAATGAAAAGGCTAGAATTTTAGTTTTTCTTTAACTGAGTAAAGAAATATTTAATGTCAACCGCATTTTGCATGAAATTTTTCTGGTTCTTAAATCAACATATTCACAACTGGTGCATCCACCTTGTAGAAATATTATTGGTGGATTATATTCTAACAAGCCAATGCTTGTTGAGTATAAGACAAATTCAATACCAACAATAGGTTCTGGAATCCATTGAATTAATTGACCTAAAAAAAAAAAACAAAAAAAAATCCCGAATCAAGCAAATTTATCTAAAATCGAGAAGAGACTCGTATTTCCTCTTGATTATAGCAAAATCTACCTGAGTTAGGCACATTTACAACTTTTGTTTTCTATTTTAAGAAAAAGAAACTTGTATTTTCAGGACACTAAGTAATATGCCAATATTTATGGAATCACCAGGGTGAACTAAAGTTTGAATTTTCAAAAGTATACGGGGCAATGTGTCACAAAGAGAGCGTAGTAGAGCTTAAAAATTAAATTTTGAAGGTGAATTTTAGTTTGAGTATACCATTATGGAATTAGCTTTATTTTGAGTATTTAGGATCTCGTTCCTTTCAAAAGTATTACTCAACTCCTCCCAACGCCATGGTAATTCAGAATATGACTTTACGGGGTTATTCCTAAGGATAGTTTTTTTTTAATATTTTCTAACTAGTTCATCGTATGGCTAAACCCAAAAAGTCAGGGAATTTTGTTATTTTTTGTCATGGAAAACCTGGAATTGTCAGGGAATTTCATTTTGAAAACCGTGTAGACACCCTGAAAAAATAAAATGAAGGGGAAAAAAAGAAATGTATAAATTACAATTAGATAAAATTGACCTCAGAATTTGACAAGCAATTCCATTATATAACGGAGAAAAAATTGGGAGTAATTACAAAAAATTCGCCTCTTGCAAGGGACTTCCTTGTAAGAATTTTGACCTGAAGACAAAGGGTCGAATAGCAACAGTACTCCATACAATACGCAGTGTGCCTCAACGAGTTAAACATGTTTTATACATCCAAATCGAAATTTTTTTATTTTTTCAACTACAGTGTTTCTTGAGTCGTTTAAGCAAAAAAAAAAAAAAAATCCGTCGAGATTCGGAAACGTAAAGGCGCTGTAAAAGTATTCTGGGGCTATAATAGCTAAATCACCAGTAGTAAATCCCGTTATATTATTAAAAAGAAATTGACTCCATAGTTTAATGCCTTAGTTTCTTAAATACGAATATTTTAAGCACTTAAACATTTATACCACCAGTTTTGGCCATGAGGTGATTTCCTGAGAGCCGCTAATATCACGAATTTCTCATAGAACCCTTCAAAAATGGCTTACTTTTTGGGCAGCCGATTCGGCCATCGAACCGGGGTTTAAAGGGAAGCTGATAATAACACAAACCTCTGAGAAAAATTTTGAGATAGACATGGATTCTGTTCAGCATATCGATGCATAAGCATTTTCACACGTAGAATCTAATTTTCACGTCAGGGAGTGGACATATTTTGATATTTTTGATTTTAAACGGAAAATTGATAGTTCTTCGGGATTGAAATTACTTGTAATTGTTTCTTGAAAAATAAAGGCACCCAAAATGACTATAGCATATTGACTTTTACATATGTGCACTCACGAAATTGATTCGTAAATTCAACGAGTGGGTACATACACCTGGTATATCAAGTTTCTGCAATATTTTACGGCAAATCGGTAGATCTTCGGTATGTAGATTTCTTACTTTTAATTCATGAATGAATAAAGCATAAACATGGTTGAACTTTTTTCCATGGAAAGACGTTTCAAGTAACAAAATCAAGACATATTTAAAGCAATTGCATTTATATCGAGTCAATTTCTTTTCAATAATATAACGGGATTTATACTGCCGGTGATTTTGGTATTTTAGCCCCAAAATACCTTTAAATCGACTTTGTCTTCTAGGAGTTCGACAGAATTTTTCCTTTCTTCGCTTAAATTATTCTGCAGCACTTCTCTTCAAGAATCTGATAAGATTTTGCTTCAGACAGATCAAAAAACTTAAATTCGTTCGAATAGCTTTCTACATTCACAATACACGGTCTCGTCAAAGTGCGTCGTTGAAGTGTTGGATCGTATGAATTCTCTTGTCATGCTACTTGCCTATTTTGAAATCTTTGTAAATGAGAACTAAAATGGTTGATATGTGCGAGTTAATGATGCGCCTTATCAACACATTGTGTTGGAGTTCACTGCTTGTTTTTTTTTTTTTATCCTTACCTACAGCTCCACGAAAGGCTGAAGACGGCTGAGCCAATCACGACTCAATTGATAACGGGAAGTGTGAACGTAAGCACATCAGAATCTTTAATTTTCATGATTATCATGACTGTTTGATGTTAATAATGAAGTACTGAACAATGATGTTCATGACAATTGAAAGAATCAGATGTGTTTATGCTTGTTCCTCCTGTAATCAATCACGCGCACAGACCATGGATCGCGCCAGAGGAAACGCGAGAGCTTAAAGTGTGGCTAGTGTCGGACCGATCTGCGCGGCCGCCACCTCGGATGACGCGGCGTTCGCGTCTGAATGGAAGCTCAAAATACGCGAATTCGAACTGGTTTTCTGTGGGTTAAAACTGTTCAAAAAAATCTGGGAAATTTCCTATGAGCTATCTGGACTCTTCAGCTTTCAAAAATTCAAGAATTAGAAATTTCTGAACAAGCTCATTCCTCAATTTGACGTCACCTCTTTCTCATCTTGGACTAAAATTTCGGGGCTAAAATCGGAATTTGTCTGATCGGGCTAACTTTAAGCCCCAAGTAGCAGTGATCGCGATAAATGGCGACTTAATCGGAGAATGTACGCGATTTTATCGACGTCGATTTATTGCAACATTATCGGATAAAAAATTGCGATAAATTGCGATTTCATCGTATGAAATTGCAATAAAATCGCGATTTTATCGACGGCGATTTATCGCGATAAATTGCGATTTCATAGCATTAAATTGCAATAAAATTTCGATTTCATCGAACGAGATTTCGTAGAGATGAATTTTCGAATTGAAATTTCTCATCAACGCGCAATAACGCATGAATGACGCTTATGAAAGATGTTCTTTAGCGGAGGTGTATGCTAGTCCTCTTAGAAATGAGCCGCTGAGTCCAATTTTCTGGCCCAACAAGCCTCTTGAGTCCACTGGTTCTTTGCAATAAGCGAAAAACGCGTATTTGGTGAACTCTCGCCGCGCGCCGCAGAATCGGAAACACTTTTTTTGGCATTCCTCGGCTTAGGAAGCCTCGCCAAGCCTCAGGACCAGCGCAACCGATTCTCTGTCTCGAACTACGTAGGGCTCGACTATAATCTCGAAATTTTTTCTCTGTGCGAAATCAGGGAAAATCGACAGGAGTTAGGTACACTACGAGGTCTGTTCGATTAGAAACCGGATTTTGGTCATAACTAGCCCACAATGCGTCCAAATTACGTTTTCTTGAGCTTTTCTGATAGCTGAAAATATATTTAAGAACGCTACGCTCACAAATTTGAAAAATCATAATTAGCTTTGTTGGTATGTGGCTTAAAGTAAGGCAACCTCAATGGTGTTATGCGATTTTTATGTTTCACCGAACTTGTCTCTCTTTTTTCGGTCTTGCACTACATTTTTCAACCCACAAGGACGATTGGAGTTTGGTCTCCATATCGTAGCCGTACACTAAAGTATTGTCACCGAAAATTATCCTATCCAAAAATGTAGGATCATTGTTAGAACGTTCAAGCAGCTAAAGGGAAATTGACATTTGGTTGGATTTTCATTCAACGGACAACAATCAAGGGGCAAGTGTACCTGAAACTCGATGCGTGTCTACATATTCTATCAAAATTGTATGTACAGAGCCTTCAGAAATATTACTCTGTTCAACAAGCTCGAAACGACCATTTTCGAGCACTTTTGCCTGCACTTCTTCCACGTGACAAATGTCAGTTGCCATTGAGGGTCGATTCCCATACTCCTCATCTTCGACGAACTCCTGACCAGTTTTGAATCGTTTAACCCACTCAAAACAGTGGGAACATCTCATACAATGACCATGGTAAACTTTACTTAGCATACCAAAAGTTTCGGTACAAGGTATACCGAGTTTAAAACAAAATTAAATGTTGAGTCTTTGCTCTGTCAGTGATCGCATGCTGAAAATCGCAAAACGCACCTGACTTACTCGCATTCAAGATGACACAGAATAAACACTGATCAAAATAAACAATGCCTGTGAACGTAGCGTTCCTAAGTATATTTCCAGCTATCAGAAGAGCTCAAGAAAACCTAATTTGGACGCATTGTGGGCTAGTTAAGACCAAAATCCGGTTTCTCATCTAACAGACCTCGTATAATGGAAAAAAATCATCATGCTGATTCAGGGAAAATGTTCTACTTTGTAATCCACATAGGTGCTCGATTGTTGAAATCGACAATCGAATCGCTGGTCAGTCATTGCACATCTTTTTGAAATCCACTTCCCCGCCCGGCCTCGGCGGCACTCAATGCTACGTCACAATGGGTGCTCCCATAAGAAATACATTGCAGGCACTCAATGCTACGTCACTGCGCAGTAGAGTTCCAAAACTCGTCCTCGGGAATGACTAACCTGTGTAGATTGGTCTTGCTTTGCAGAACATTCAAATAGAATATGACTGTATTCATTAAAAAAGATTGTGTTGAAATTATTTCACCCAGTTTTATTATTGTTTTGTTTTCAGCCATAAAAAAACACTCAAAACTTCGCATTGAATCTTTGACTATTATTCTATTGCTTGCCAAAAAACTAAAAGGTAAATTTTTGTCCTTCATACAGGTAAGTATACATTTAAAAAAAAATTGAATTTTATTTGAGACTAGTATTCCTTTTCATTTTATTGTGCAGATACATAGTACAGGTCACCAGTATGCGTCGAAAAATAAATCGAAAGTGCCTTACGTAATTTGTGGATAGCTCCAAAGATTTAAAGCAGTACCTGTGTGTAGCAGGTGATGCTTTGGTGGTTCTTTTACCGAGCTATTTTTGAGATAAAGACAATGCAAATCTCTTTGATGCTGTTAATATAAAAAAGCATAACACGTCCCCGAAATACTCCACCCTATTATCCACTTATTTAACAACTGAGAATCTCCCTTGTTGCTCCGATAATAATAGGCACACTTATTACTTTTTTCCAATTTCCAGAGGCCCTTGATTTCGTCTGGCGAAGGCATGTACTGCTTATTTTCTCAGCGTGGGCGCTCTGAATATTAACTGCCAACGGCACAGTGACGTCGATTATAAAGGCAGTTTTGGTATCCTTCATCGTGAGCACTATGTCTGGGATGTTATTAGGAATGGTTCTATGGGTACGAATCTTCATGTTCCAGTAGAGGCAGCATATAGCATTTTCTTCAACCTGGGGAGGTTCATACTCATAGTTAGGTTTCATGTCCGTTTCGTTGAGGTGATCTTTAGCCAGTCCTTGCTAAATTAACTTTGCCACAGAATTATGCCACTCAAGGTATTGCTTTGGTGCCAAGTTGGAACATCCAGCTAATAAATGGTAATAATAATTATTATTATTATTACCACTACTACTACTACTACTAGTACTACTAGTACTACTACTACTACTACTACTACTACTACTACTACCACCACCACTACTACCACTACTACCACTACTACCACTACTACCACTACTACCACTACTACTACTACTACTACTACTACTACTACTACTACTACTACTACTACTACTACTACTACTACTATTATGTGTAAGTATTTTTCTCACAAAAATACGAGTGTGGAAAGAAACTCATTGAAAGACGGACCGTAGCCAAGTCTTTCAAAGCTAGAGCCTTTTAAAATTGCTAAAATTTGATTTAAAATCGCTAAAATCTGATTTGAAATTGCTAAAATTTGATTTAAAATTGCTAAAATTTGATTTAAAATTCCTAAAATTTGAATGTAAAAATCGTAAAAAGGTGTTAAAATCGTTAAACATTGTTAAAATTTAAAAAAGATTGTTAAAATAAAAGAGCATGAACCACTATGTTAGCAGTCGGTCACGTAATTAAAAATAAAAATACAGTCACTGCCCTGAGCCTAGGAAAGATCTAGTGATATTACAGGTGTGCAGGATAACAGCTTTCTGGCTTTGGGTGTGAACGTTTTCACCTAAGTGGAGCTGCTTCAGATGTCTCAGGAAAGAATGAGGAGTGATCCCCGTGACGGATATTATAAATGGTACAATAATTACTTCTTTAAGCTTCCACAGTCGCTGTATTTCAGTTGCTAAGGGCAGATACTTTTCGATCTTATCTCTATACTTAGCATCTACATTGGCATCAGCAGGGACTGAGATATCCATTAGGTGAGCAATGCCCTGATTTTTATCTAGAAGGACCATATCTGGCCTATTGTGCGGGATGGTCTTGTCGGTATAGATGGTGAAGTCCCAATATAATTTATAGGAATCATTTTCCAGCACTGACTCAGGATTATATTCATAATACGGAGGCACACTGTCCAACAGGTTACGATGTAATGAAAGCCCTTGGTGGATTATTTTGGCTACTGAGTTATGTCTCCTGGTGTACTCGGTACCAGCTAGGAGTCTGCAACCTGCTGTGATGTGATCAATCGTTTCAGGACATAAATGACACTTCCTGCATGAGTCATCAACGGTCCCATCTTTAATGACGAATTTCCTATAGTTTCTTGTACAAATGACTTGATCCTGGATGGCGAGTATAAAGCCTTCCGTTTCCGGAAACAACTGCCCGCTCTGAAGAAATTTGTAAGACAGGCTCTTGGAGAAATGATCTTGGTGGACCTGACTATATGTAGTGTCTTCCGTGCAACTCTTTAGATGCCCAGATGGTCTCTTTCTGCTCATCCGTGTGAAACGGTGGATACGCGGCTCCCTGCGAGGCCAAATTCAAAGGTGTAAAGTTCCTATCCGTGCAAATGATTGCCTGATGTAAAGGGTGCTCGCTGTTTGTAAAATACGTCCTGAGATCATGAACCTGACGATTGCACAACTCGTGGATATCCAGTAGACCTCTTCCGCCTACTTCCCGACCGAGAGTCACTCTCTTTACAGGATTTTGGGTGTAACTTCCGGCTCTTAGTCAACAACACTCTGGTTTTAATGTTGATATTCTCCAGATCAGTGGTGGTCCATTTGATAATTCCGAAAGAGTATGTCAAGACTGGCACAGCAAAAGTGTTAATAGCCTTAAACGGTGGTCCATTTGATAATTCCGAAAGAGTATGTCAAGACTGGCACAGCAAAAGTATTAATAGCCTTAAACAGATTTCTTGAGTTCAGTCTAGAGCGTAACAAGATCCTGAGACGCTGATCATAATGCTGTTGAACCATATGCTTAATGTCACTATGGTTTAGTCTGCGATTCTGTTGGAATCCTAGGTATTTGTAGGAATCATTTTCATCCATTTGTTCGACAATTGTACCGTAGAGAGTCTGATCTTCCTCCTCTTCCGCCACCTTTCCGTGATATATATTCAGAACTTTGCACTTCTTCAACCCGAACTCTATACAAATATCAGCGGATACGGACTCCACAACACCCAGCAAGATCTTAAGCTCACCCGGCGATGAGGAGTAGATTTTAATATCATCTATGAACATCAGATGACTGAGAATATACAGAGTTTGTCTGCGCTCTTTAATGTGAAACCCAAGTTCAGTGTCTTTCAAAGCATTCGACAGGGGATTCAGGGATCAACAAAACCACAATGCACTGAGCGCATCTCCCTGCAAAATTCCACGTTTAATGTAAATAAATTCAGTTTCCAATTGGCCGTCCTCCGTTTTGAGGGAGATTTTCGTTTTCCAATTTTTCATTACGGATACCAGGAAGTGTCTCAACACAGGGTGTATCTTGTAGATTTCGAGGACTCTTAATAACCAAGAATGAGGCCCATGTCAAACGCCTTACGATAGTCGATGAATGTGGTGTTCAAATTTCTGCGGTTCTTTTCCGTTTGCTTCAGAATAACACTATCCACTAATAACTGCTCCTTGCAACCTTTGCTCTGTTTTCGGCACCCCTTCTGCTCCTCCGTTAAGACATCATTCGATATCAAGTGCCGATCAATTTTCCTACAGAGGGTCGCTGTGATTACTTATAGATGGTGGGCAGACAAGTGATGGGACGATAGTTCTCAGGGTTCTTTGTGTCTTCATCTTTTGGTTTAATGAACGTCCTTCCTTCTGTTAAAAACTCGGGTGCCAATTCGGGATGCTGAACGATTCTGTTGGTTTGCTGTGTTAGGTGTGCATGCGATACAGGGAAGTTCTTATACCAAAAATTTTGCACATTGTCGGCACCTGGATATTTCCAGTTATGGGTGCCCCTGATAGTCTCCGCAAGCTCATTTACAGTGATGACATGGTTTGTCTGCTCTGGCACGGCTTCCTGCTGGGCAATTTCTTTTTCAATCCATTCACCACCCTCCCGATGCTGCACAGGATTAGACCAGAGATTTTTCCAGAAAGAAGTCACTTCTTCTTTCTTAGGTGGTGTAACCGGTATTTCCTTCGAGGTCAGATTCTTGTAAAAGGCCTTTTCATTTCTATTGAAGAGGGCATTCTGGTTTTTTCTATCATTGGACTCGTTATACCTTCGAAGGCGAGCTTCGTAAACAGCGAGTTTCATCTTCGAAATCTCTTGGGTTTCCGCGACGGTCTTACTTTTGTCCCTGATGATAAGACTAATCTCCTTCTCCAATTTCTTAGTTCTGACACCTCTTAAATACTGAGTGGTTCGACCAATTTCCTTCCGCAATCTCTCGATCTTTTTCTCGAGTCTCAGTTGCCAGGCAGGTTTCCTCCTTCTTTTTGGACATTGCTCTCCCTGCGACCTTAACTTCTGGCCATTTAAAACTGTGACAGTGCCGGCACAAGCGTAGACGACTAAGTGGATTTCTTCGAGATCCGCCTCCTCTGAGATGAGTTCATTAATGATCTTATTATTAATAATCTTTATTCGGTCTTTGCACATCCTATTCATCCAAAGTTTTGGAATTGCTGGCCTTAGATTTGGATTACTCCCTCTCCATTTGTCTCTGAAGAATCGAATCTTCTCACGAGTTTCCAGTTCCATCGTGTCTTCAAAACTTGGTACACTATCCGCTGAATCGACAAACCTATGAATTGGATACGCTCTAGGGACACCACCCCATCCCTACCATGACGAGAGAATTCATCGACTGATGATGGCGTGAAGATAATGTCCGCCTCTATAGGAGTAGATGCAATATGTAACTCATGAGCAACTTCTCTGTTTATTTCCTCGATCTCCTGCACAGTTAATTTCTTGTTGTTGATGATTACCCGTTTCTGATCCACTAGCCTCTGTTCAGTGACATTAGTTAGATCAGGGTACGCTGCCAGGAACAATTGGCGTAGGTGGAATCTGTACCCTGATGCGTTGGTGTCTAGTCGTGTTGCTCCATAGAAGCAACGCATGACATCGATGTTCATTTCTCTGGTCCAAGTCATGCGCTGCCTCGGAATTCCTGCCTTGGTGGTTGCCGGCTGACTTGCCGGTAAAACACCGGAGGCAGGAGGTGAAGGGGATCTGCTCGGGGTTGGCCGTCGTACCGTTAGACGCTGGGCTGATCCACGGCCGTCCTCAGCTCCAGCGTTGTGAGGATGAACTGGACAGCTTTATGCAATAAGGAACTAGGGTCAAATTTTCGATTTTTTTTTTATGATGAATTCCGTATCAGGAGGGTATTTACTTACTATTGAGAAAAAGAAAATCCTCAAAAACG